GTAAGAAACATTCAGGGCTGCTGCCCGCCTAGTAAGCTCTATTCCTTTTATTGTTGAGCACAGAGTGGGTCATCATGGTCTGGTTATTTTCAGAATCTTCATATTGATGTTATCCAGTTAATAGATAGCTCTTGGACTGTATCCACAAAAATTGGTTTCTAATATTCTCTATCTCTAGGCTTTTTTTTTTTTTTTTTTTTTTTCCGGTAGTGGGGATTGAATCCAAAGTGCTTTATCACAGAGCCACATCCTCAGCCCCTTTTTATTTTTTGAGACAGGGCCTCATTAAATTTCTCAGTCTGGCCTTGAACTTGCTATCCCCCTGCCTCAGTCTCCTGATCAGTTGGGATTCCAGGCATGTGCCACCTTGAGAGGCTCTAGGCTTTTTTTCCCCCAGCACTGGGTATTGAGCTCAAAGTCACTCTACTACTGAGTCATATCCCCAGCCTTTTATATAAGTTGCCCAGGCTGGCCTTGAACTTGGGATCCTCTCAAGTCATTGGGATTATAGGCGTGTGCCACTACGCCCGGGCACTACCTTTCTTTTAATCATTCTAAAAATACATATGTAAATTAACAAAGTACATAGGCATTATTTAACTGGAATTACAGTGCTCTTAAGATTTATTGGACCTTTTAAGAATGTAGGACTGGTGGAAAACAGGCCTGGGGAGCAAAGGTGAGAGTGTCCATGGAGTTTTTAGATATAAAGCTGCAGTCCCCTTTCCTTCCCTCTTTTCTCCTTTCTACCTATCCATATTTCTTCTATCCTACATCAAACCTATTAAACAAAACCAAACCAAAAAAAAAAAAGACATAATGATAACAATAAATTCAGGATTGCAGTTACTTCCTTTGTTATTATTTTTTTAGTTGTTAATGAGCCTTTTATTTATTTATATGTGGTGCTGAGAATTGAACCCAGTGCTCACACATGCTAGACAAGTGCTCTACCACTGAGGTATAACCCCAGCCCTGCAATTACTTCTGATGAAGGGGAGGAAGGAAGATGGGATTTCCTTCACAGTTTTCTACCAAGGAATCACCAGTGCTCTGTGAAGTCCAGAGTATGGTCTGTGAGGTTCCTTTTAATACCACATCTACAGGTCACACACATGCATATGGAACATATATGCAAGTATGTATAATATTATACACTTTATTATGTGTCCAATAGTACAATAAGGTAATTTAAGAAGCCATGGTGTGTGATGATTTGAATATGAGATGTCCCCAGAAAAGTTCATGGGTTAAGCAATGAAGGAATGTTCAGAGATAAAATGATTAAATCATGAGAGCTGTAACCTAACAGTAGATTGATCTAGTTGATGGATTAATAATTTGAAAGAACTACTATAGTGGGTGGAAACTGTAGGCAGGTGGGCAAAGATGGAAGAAGTAGGTCACTGGGGCTGTGCTCTTGGGGATTATACTGTGTTCCCAGCTACTTGTACAGGTGCATTCTGCTTTCTGGCTACCATGAGCTTTCCTCTGTTGTGCCCTTATGCCATTATGTTCTGCATCAGAACATCATCTAGTCCAGAGGAATGGAGCCAGCCAACCATAGACTGGAGACCTCTGAAACTGGGAGACCCAAATAAACTTTTCTCCTCTAACTTATTTTTGTCAGGTATTTTGGTCACAGTGACAAAAAAATTGACTAATACATGGAGTGATTATGGCTTTTAATAAAAATGGTTTTACCCTAAAGATGAAGATCCAGGACAGAGGTGCTCATTAGTGCTGTCAAAATTTGGTGATAGGGGCTGGGGATGTGGCTCAAGCAGTAGCGTGCTCGCCTGGCAAGCGTGCGGCCCGGGTTCGATCCTCAGCACCACATACAAAGATGTTGTGTCCACCAAAAACTAAAATAAATAAATAAATAAATATTTTTAAAAAATTTGGTGATAGACTCAGCTTAGAAGTTATCTCATGGTCAAAGAGGCCTCATGTGTGTGCTCTCTATACCTCCCTTCCAGCCCTATGTCTCCTTCTTTTGGTCATTTGTCATCTGGATCATGATCTGCTGTCCTATGTCTTCCTTAGACTTGTCTTCAAGGAAGCCTTGAGGGTCACCACTCTAGGGACTGCTGGTAACTCAGGGAAGAATACAAGCAGTACAGGCAAGTTTCTCTCCCACAGATAGAAGCAGCTCAGCTAGCAAGGTCATAGTTAGGAGAAAGTCTTTTTGTGTGTGTACTGGGGATTGAACCCAGGGTCTTGTGCATATTAAGCATGGGCTCTACACTAAGCTCTACCCTCAGCCCAAGAAAGTATTGGCCTTGAAACTGTTTAAATGGTAGCCTTTGTGTTGGTAAACATGAGACAAGTTTTAAGTTTGCTCTATTCTTCCACAGTATTTATCTGTGGCCATTGGCCATTTGTCACTCATGTCACTAGGGCTTAAAACTCCTTGCTTGACAGTTTCTGGAGACAAAGTTCCAGTGAAAACCTCTCACCACAAGCAGCTCAGGCCTGGACATTGTCTCTTGGGGGGGGTTCCCACAAGCACCCCAAACTTAACATGTCCCCTATTGATTTAATATCCCAGTTTCCAACTCAGAGAGACGTAAGAGCAATTGTCACTTTGTACAATGTCCTATCAGGCTCACTTCCTCTCTCCAGCTCAATTGCCATTGTTCCAGTCCAAACCACACATGATAACCATGACTAATCTTATAACCAGTTTCTCTGACAGGTGGAGGTGATAAATAGTCTGTTAGCTACATGAGGCTGTGTTCAGACAATAGGGCTGGGACAAGAGTCATTATGTATAAGGGGTGGTGGCTCCTAGCACCTACTGCCACCTGCTTCTGGTATGTCTTCCTGCACTTCATGGCAGGAAAATGATAATTCTCTGGCTCCCCTGGTTCTCTCATACTCAGGGCTCAGGATGGAGATTGAATTCTGCTAGTGAGAAGCACATCCCTGATGTTGGTTTTCTTCAGCAACCTTCTCATTCAAGTTACAAACATCCTGGTGTTTGAAGGACAGGTATGGTAACAGCAGTGACAGGGTACAAGACATCATTGTATATGTATCTTGTGCTCAGCTGAATATTTCTGTTGCATGTATTCCTAAAAATGAAACTGCTTGGTTAAAAGTCAGACATATTTTATCATTTGATAGATACTGTCAAATCAAAAAGGCTAGTATGCCTGTAATCCCAGTGACTCGGAAAGCTGAAGCAGAAGGATCACAAGTTCAAGACCAGCCTCAGCAACTTAGTGAAGCATAAGTAACTTGGTAAGACCCTGTCTCAAAATAAAATATAAAAGGGACTTGGGATATGGCTCAGTGGCTAAGCATCCCTGGGTTAAATCCCTGGTACCAAAATAAATAAATAATAAAATAAAATTAAAAAAGTTGAAAAGGCTGTATCAATTGTTCTTACCATTGTATACAACAGATACTACTTCCTAACATCCTGGCTGACATACTATATTTTTAATATAAAATGTTAAAGACAGTGTGTTAATTTTCTAGGGTTGTTGTAGCAAGTTACTACAAACTGCGAGGCTTAAAACAGCATAAATTTCTTCTCTTATAGTTCCAGAGACTAGAAGTCCAAGGTGTTGGTAGAACTGAGCTCCCTCTGAAGGTTCTAGGGAAGAATCTGTTTCAGGCCTTTTTCTTAGCTTCTATTGAGGCCAACAATCATTGATGTTCCTTGACATGTGGTTGCATCACTCCAGTCTGTCTTCATTGTCATCTGGCCTTCTTCCTTGTGTATCTATGTCCAAATTTCTCTCTTATTATAAGGACACCAGCCATTGCATTATGGCCCATCCTACTCCAATATGACTTTATTGTAACTTGATTCCATCTGCAAAGACCTTATTTCCAAATAACGTTGCACTTTCAAATTCTGGGTAGACACAAATTTAATCCAGCACATGTATGCCCACCTCCTAGATTTCGCCATTAACGTTAGCATCCTTGCTTTGTCACATACCTATCTCTATCTACCCTGTTTCCATTTTATTTTTGGTGCATTTCAAAGTAAGTTGAAGACATCTGTTCGCTTCCTCCTAAATTAATCAGGATAATACCGTATGGAGAATTCAATATTTGGTTGTGTTTATTATTTTGTTTGCAACAATCACAAGTCTGAGAAACAAACAACAACAAAAAAAACGGGCACAGAAAAAGATTTTTTAAAAATCTCACAATTCGTAGGGCTAGGGGATGTGGCTCAAGTGGTAGCGCGCTCACCTGGCATGCGTGCGGCCCAGGTTCGATCCTCAGCACCACATACAAACAAAGATGTTGTGTCCGCCGAAAACTAAAAAATAAATATTAAAAAAAAAAATCTCACAATTCGTTTGAGGTTGTCTTCCATTTCCTGACTTTACCTGTCACTCTTTTTCCTTCCTTAAGAGCAAATCGGGACTAAGTTCAAGTTACAGTTTTCTGTCCTTATCTTACCATTTAGCGGCAATGGACAAGTAACATTGTTAATCATGGTGTCCGTGAAACCCCCGCTTCCTTCTGCGGTTTCCCCCTCGTCTTCGGATGCTGCTTCCTTAGGTCTTTTCTGGACCCTCCTCCTCCCTGCCCTTTGTAAGTGCTGGTGTTCTCGATTCCTTCCTGGGTCCTCATCTCTCCTCACGCTAAGGGATTGCATTCTCCTTTCATCTGTACCAGGGAGAGTCTATCTGCAGGAAAAAGGTACCACTTTTGCAATTTTAAGCAAAATGACTAAAACAGGGAAGGGCGACATGTTTCAGTTTGCAGCGCTCTGGAACCACCCTATGGGGCTGCGCCGAACGGCACCTAACCCCACAGCGCGCCGCCAGGATAGGTCGGGTCTGAGCAGGTAGGGCTCGGCCCCGCCCCCTTCCTCACGCAGAGCATGCGTGCCTGAAGACACGTACAGCCAACCAGTGAAAAGGAGTAGTTGAGAGTGCCATGCACTTGGCCCAATCATGGGAGACTCTGATGAGAAAGCCTACTCCTGGACCAATGGTGGGGTGGGGCGGGGTTCGGGAGGGGGCCGTGGTCACCTGATCTGCGGCGGCCGTGGCGTCCCTGACAGTGGAGACTGAGGCTATGATGGCGGCGGGATTGGTGGCTCGGGTGCGGACAGGGTCGCGGTGGGCCCCGGCGCTCTGGCAAATGCCATGGCTGCCGCTGTTGCTGGTTTCGGCGGCGGCGGTGGTGGCGGAGCAGCAGGTGCCGCTGGTGTTGTGGTCGAGTGACCGGTGAGCGGCCGGGCCGGGTTGGGGCGGGCTGCGCAGCGCGCCGCGGCGGTTGGGACGCCCTCCGTGAGGGGCTGCGGGGCCAAGAGGGGGACTGTCCCTTGCTCTGGGGCTCGCTTCAAGTCAGCGGGTATCAGAGAGAGCTATGAGCCCCACGCATCAAGCTGGGCGCCCATGGGCTTCAGATCTCAAACCATGCGCCCCCTCATGACAGCACCTCTTCTGCCCCTTGTCAGGGACTTGTGGGCTCCTGTGGTCGACACGCACGAGGGCCACATCACCAGCGACATGCAGCTTTCTACCTACCTAGACCCCGCCCTGGAACTGGGCCCCCGGAATGTGCTGCTCTTCCTACAGGACAAGGTGCGCCCACCCAGTCTACTCAGTCCTGGTATTTGGGAGGCGGGCAGGTTGCTTGCCCCCACAGTCCATTACTAAAGGGAAGCTTCCATGACCTTGTCCCAAGGTGTGGTTCTACTCTTGGTAAGGCCTGTAGGAAAAGCTTCAGTGGAAATGGTCAGAGATTGGAGGAAACAACGGGTCAGAGACCAGATACCTACTAAGGACCAAGCACTTTAGACATTCTATGACCTACTTTAGTGTGGTTTGAATTATCATAACCATTTACACATGAGAAGTCTGATGGCTGGAGGAGGATAAGTGACTTGCCCAAGGTCACACAGCTAATGGTTGGCAGAGTTGTAACTCAAACTGTAGTGATTATAATAGAGATAGGAATAATCCAAAAATGATTCCATATTTATTGCTTCATATGTGCTGTACTAAGCTGATGTTGTTATCTTGCTAAAGAAACTAAGGTTTTTAGAGGTGTAATTATTTGTACAAGTTCCACAATTTAGACAGCACACTGGTTCCAGCTTGAATCTGTCAGACGTATTCCCCAGTTTGTGTTCATAATCAGCATGCTGCTTTCCCTCCTCTCTAGGCCTCGGTCCCCAAAGCAAATGTGTAGTACGCGAGAGGATTCTAGGGAAACCTATGATTGGTGTTTGGGAGGCTATAAAGCCTCTACTTGTCCCTTCCTTGTTAGTGGGCTTTCTGGCTCATTTTTTTTTTTTTGCCTTCCTCCATTGCTGTGTCAGCAGGTGGTAGTGGTCATGCTGGCCTGTAGTATTTCCGGGAGGTGGTATAAATTAATGGACTCTTGGGCTCAGATTGTGGCTCAGCAGTAGAGTTCTTGCCTAGCACATGCGAGGCCCTGGGTTCAATCCTTAGCACCACATTAAAATAAATAAATAAAAGATATTCTGTCCCATTACAACTAAAAAATAAATATAAAAAAATAATGGGGGCTGGGGTTGTGGCTCAGCAGTAGAGCGCTCGCCTAGCATGTGCAAGTCCCTGGGTTCAATTCTCAGCACCACATAAAAACAAAATAAAGGTATTGTGTACAACTAAAAAATAAATATTTTTTTAAAAATAATGGACTCCTAGTTCTACCACTTATCAGCCTTTGAGCCCATGAATAATCCCTGTAAATGATAGTTTCTGCAAATTTGAAATGAAGACACCACCTACATCAGGGCTGTGAGAAGTAATTCTTTATCTACATAAAACATGTTTGGGGTACCCCCAGTCTTGGGACATTAATGCATTTACCAAAGATGACATGCTTCATATATATCAGGTATTGTTAAGTGTTAGGAATATTGTAGTGAGCAGAATCAACCAAGCCCTTTCTCTTCAGAAAGCCAATGTTCTTGGGGGGCAACCAGTAAATACTAAGTTGGTATATGACATCAGTACTATAGTCTAGCAAAGGAAGGAGGCTAAGAGGACAGAGTAATTTAGGATGCTGTTTTTAGATGAGGATGATCAGGTAATTGCTCACTGAGTAGGTGATATCTTGAAGAGGGAGAGAGCTATCTAGCTTTGGGAGGACATCCCTGGTAGTGGAACAGCAGATGCAAGGGCCATGTGTAAGGAGTGCTCTTGGTAAGTTCAAGGAGGCGCTTAGTGTGGCTGGAGCCTTGTGAGTAAGAGAAAGGATTAGGAGATGGTTTTCCAGGTAGCCAGGAGATGAGGGAGGGCTGTCTAGGCTATGAGGAGGAAGGTTGGTTGCAGTTCTCAATATGACAGAAAGCCTTGGAACAGGGAGTGATGTGATCTCTTGATTAAAGAAAGCCCACTGGGGCTGGGGTTGTGGCTCAGCGGTAGAGCGTTCGCCTAGCATGTGCGAGGCCCTGGGTTCAATCCTCAGCACCACATACAAATAAATAAATAAATAAATAAATAAATAAAATAAAGATTAAAAAAGAAAGAAAGAAAGAAAGCCCACTGGACAGCACAAGCAGCCAAACATGGTTGAATTTCCTTCCCTGAAAGGTGGGACAGCTGAGCAAGTGTGTATACTAAACATAGTGAGGTTAAGGAAGCTGATTAAGATCATCTCTGGACCTGACAGAAGCCAGAAGAAACTGGGGGGTAGGGTAGAGGGCAGGAGTTAAAGGCCATGTATATATTGTAGAGGGAAAGGGAAGGCACTGGGGTTGCTGTGGTCCTGAGAGCTCCAAAGACTTTGCTGCTTCCTCCACTACACGTGTTCTAAGATCTATACTTTGTTGCCCTCCCACCAAAAAATGGTGGTGGGGGGGTACTTCTCACCCTCCTTAAAGAAGATCCTGTCTGGACTGGATATAGCTGGCCCTCCTTTGCTCTGACTTTGACTTCCGTTTTGGTAGCCACGCTGTGAATGTTTTGCTTGCAACCCTCCCTTCCTCTAGCTTCCCTCTTTCCTCTCCAGTTCCTCTTGCTGGCTGACTCCTACTCCCGAGGTTACCACAAGCCAGCCACCTGCAGATCTCTCAACCCCGTGACCATATCTTCTGTGTCTTGTCACCCTATCCTGACAGTGTTACAGGGAAGAGTGAGCCTTCTACCCAACCCTCACCCTACTTACCCACAGTTTGTGGTCTATCATGCCAAATCTGACTCTAAATGAGATTTTTACTGGCTCTGAGAATACATAGGTCCTCTGGCCCCTATTTGTTGCCCAACCTCCTGAGATGGTTCTTCTGCTTTCTTATTAGCTAAGCATTGAGGATTTCACAGCATATGGCGGTGTATTTGGAAACAAGCAGGACAGCGCCTTTTCTAACCTGGAGGTAAGTAAGAGTCCTCTCCCAGCCCTGGGTCATGTGGACAGGCCATCCTGTGCCTTCCTTTCCAGCACAATAAGAACTGTACTTAACCAGGTGTGGTGTCACATGCCTATAATCCCAGCTACTTGGGAGGCGGAGGTAGGAGGATCATAATAAGTTCAAGGCCAGCCTAGGCAAGTTCGAGAGACTTGTCTCCAAATAAAATGAAATCTCAGTGGTAGAGCACTGAAAAAAAGTTGAGAAGTGTATGATTTGGGACAAGAGATGTTGGCTTTGAGGGTAGAAAGGCCTGGGGTCTAAGTTTCAGGCCTAAGGGGGCCATTTTCTTTCTGACCTAAAGTGAGACCCCTTTGTGGTTCTATCTTGCCAGGGAAGTTTGGGGGGATAGCCTGGGTCTACTGGTCTCTGGTTCACTTAGCCTTCCACCTCTTCCCAACTCCCAGAATGCCCTGGACCTGGCCCCCTCCTCGCTGGTGCTTCCTGCTGTTGACTGGTATGCAGTCAGCACTCTGACCACCTACCTGCAGGAGAAGCTTGGGGCCAGTCCCCTGCATGTGGACCTTGCTACCCTTCGGGAGCTGAAGCTCAATGCCAGCCTCCCTGCACTTCTGCTCATCCGTCTGCCCTATACAGCCAGGTATGGCCCAGGTAGCCTAGTCTCCAGCATCTAGCCTTGGGGCCCAGAGAAAGGCAAGGCTCTGGGCTTTGGTGGCACAATTTGGCCAAAGATGATAGTACTCCCCCTGCTATGTATCACCTTAAAACCCTTCCAGAAGAAGGTTCCCTCTTTGCCAGGAAGAGATGGGAAGAGCCTTCTGCCAGGTTTGACTTAAGAGTCAGTACCCAACAGTGTGCTAGGTCTGTTGGGCCTCCAGAGATGAGGCAGACAGGGGACCTGCTTGTGGGGAATTTCCTCACCTATCTAGGCCCTATTCATAGAGCAGATGTCAAGGACATGGTGGTGACTGTGAAGCCTGTGGGGGAAGGGGAACATGATTCCAGGCAGAGGTGCTGAAGTAAGCAAAATGGAGGGAGTTGGTGAGCCTGGTCCCTGCACAGGTTTCAGAGTGCTGGCTGGAATGTGCAGGTTTGGTGAGTGGCTAGTAGAGAGGGAGGAGAAGCTAGAGGAGCTGAGGGAAGGGTAGCAGGCTGCAGGCCAGGCAGAGCTACCTGTGGAGGTCTCATGCTGTGTCTTGTCCATAGCTCCGGTCTGATGGCGCCCAGGGAAGTCCTCACAGGCAACGGTGAGTGGGGTCAGGGAGGATGCATGTTCTCACTTCCTCCTCAGGCAAGGACCACAGAAGGCTAGCTTACATCTTTCTTCAGCCCTTTCTCACCCCCAGGATGGCTCCCTGCTTCTTGGAACAGCTGAGAGCTGAGCAGAGAAATGCCAGCTCTCCTGTCACAGCTCTTTGCAACTAGTCTGACCTTGCAGAGTGTCCAAATGCCTTGTGACTTATTGTGCAGGAACCTGTGGATCCAGTTGGTGCTCGGGCTGTGTGAATACCAGAGTTTCACACTGCAATAAACAATTAGGAGGACTTTTTTTTTTTTGCTATAAATGACAGCTTTTCATTCCCCATGGAATGGTAGTTGGGTGGATATAGAGTTTTCTATATGTATTTTTCCTTTTGCTTAGGTTGGGCTTGGCATTAGGGTGTTGTTGACAGGCCACAGTTTTCCCTGGGGAGGCTTGCAGAGGGGTGCGAAGACAAATAGCAGTTTTTAGGGATCTTCAGTGGAAACTAAAAGCATGACTTTCACATGATCCAGGATTCTAAAGCAGACGGTAGGCGGTGTTTTTATATATATATATATATATATATATATATATGTATATATGTATTTATTTAGTTATCCATGGACCTTTATTTTATTCATTTATTTATATGTGGTGCTGAGAATCAAACCCAGTGCCTCACACATGCTAGGTAAGTGCTCTGCCACTGAGCCACAACCTCAGCCCCAGGCAGCGTTTCTTTAAGTGGGCTGCCTGGTGACCTTGTTCTCTGCTCTCCCCTCAGATGAAGTCATTGGGCAGGTGCTAAGCACACTCAAGTCTGAAGATGTCCCTTATACAGCAGCTCTCACAGCAGTCCGCCCCTCCAGGGTATGTGCATTACCAGCAAGGGTTCTGAGGCATGTGGGGAGAGGCAGTGTGGTGAGTCTGCCTAAAGGTGGAGCATGTGCTAGGAGTCTGCCTAGAGGTGAAGTATATGCAAGGCCTCCTAGAAGCCCCAGGGCTCATGGAAGCAGTTGGAGGATTACCCCAGTGGGGCAGCTCTGGGAGGATTAGGAGGAGCAGTCAAGTTCTGCCTCCTCCATCTAGGGCAGCTTTCCATCTTTCTTTGTGAGCCTTATGGGCTGCATTCTTGAACATAGTCCACGAGATCCTAAGTTTGAGGGAGGGAAAATATCATCAGGGCTAGGGGCCCATGGAAAAGCTTCCTGGAGAAAACTGCCTTCTCAGACTTCTAGGACTTTTAGGTGGTGGACAGGGTGCCCAATAGGGAGAGATGGGAGAGCAGGACAGTGGGTCAGGACTTGCTCCCAAGGCTGTTGAAAGAAGGCTTATTGGGTGTTTCTGCAGGTGGCTCGTGATGTAGCCATGGTGGCTGGGGGACTAGGTCGCCAGCTACTCCAAGAACAAGTGGCACCAGCTGTGATCCATCCTCCTGTGAGTTATAATGACACTGCCCCGCGGATCCTGTTCTGGGCCCAGAACTTCTCTGTGGCATACAGGGAGCAGTGGGAAGATCTGACTTCCCTCACCTTTGGGGTGCAAGGGCTCAACTTGACTGGCTCCTCCTGGAATGACTCCATTGCCACGTAAGGGCACTAGGCTGGGGAGGAATGAGCCACCACACATGGCCTTCCTGCCAGTGTGGGACAGGGGCAGGGATCCAGGGGCAGGTATGTGTGTTGTGGGTGAGGGTGGTCTTGGTGGGCTCTATTCACCAGGGATAGGTGGTATCTCAGGGTGGAGCTACTAGAGGGGGAGGTACTCACAGTTTTGCCTCCCTGTGCTCCCTAGGCCTTGGTTGGGACCTGGGAACCTGGTGCTTCCCCCTTGAAGGAAACCTTAGGCCTGTGTGTGGTCAGATACCAGACCAGCTACAACAATCAGTTCTAGGGCCCCCATACCCTCCCATTTCCCCTTACCCCAAAGCCCAAACTAGGCAATTCAGTGACTCTAACAGGGAGCTAAAAGGAGGGGAAGTAGACTCAGGGGGACCAGAGAAAGGAGCCCTAAGCTAGAGGCACAGCACCTGGGTGTTGGCTTCTACCTCCTCGCTCTGTTCTTAACTTGGTTACGACTGGAGCCTTAGTTTCCCCATCTATCAAGTGGGAACACTGCATCTTCAGGTGACTATGAGGAACTGGGGCAGCTTAGGCAGGAGCAGACTGAGGAGCTTGCTCCTCTAAGCCACCCAAGGCCCTCCTGGAGACTGATAGCACATCTCTATCTCACCTTGCAGGCTCTCGCTGACCTATGAACGGCTCTTTGATACCACAGTGACGTTCAAGTGAGTCATTCAAGTGGGATGGATGTAGCTCAGTGGTAGAGTGCTTGCCTAGCATGTGGAGGGCCCTAGGTTCAATCCCCAGCACTGCAAAAAAAAGACAAATAAATAAAACACAAGTGAGTCCTGAAATAGTTAAGATATAGGTGGGGGCTACTGTCATTTCAGTCTCCCCTGCTTACCTGACACCCCTAACACCTCCTCCAGATTCATTCTGGCTAACCGCTTCTACCCAGTATCTGCCCGGCACTGGTTTACCATGGATCGCCTCGAAATCCACAGCAATGGCTCTGTCACCTACTTCAATGCTTCCCAGATCACAGGGCCTAGCATCTACTCCTTTCACTGCGAGTATGTCAGCAGTCTTAGCAAGAAGGGCAGTCTCCTTGTAGCCCGCACACAGCCTTCCCTGTGGCAGATGACTCTTCAGGACTTCCAGGTATGAAATAGGGAGGGGATGCTCTCTCCCCAAGCTTTATGGGGCTTCCAGTAGAAGCCATGAGCTTGAGGTTTTCCAAGTATAGAGGTATTTGGAAGTACTGCTTAACTAACCATGTAGCTTGGCTATTATTGTGTTTTTTGGTGATGTGCTAACAATAAGCAGTACACTGGGGTTTATTTCTGTGGTTTGAGAAGGAAGGGACATCTACTACAGGTGGCCTGGATGTGATCACTGGGTTTCTGTCATGTTCCCCTTCAGGTGGGAATGCAGGCTGATAGTAGCAGAGTACTAGGGAGGGGGAGGAAGGATCTGAAGAGTCTCAATGTAGCCTGGGCTTGTGGTTGACAGTCCTGTCTTGTGCTGCCTATCAGGAATATGGACTGTCCCTGACTCTGGACCTCCCATTTATGTGGAGCCACATGGTCTCTTCTGACTCACATCTGTGTGTTTCCCCAGATTCAGGCTTTCAATGTGACAGGTGAGCAGTTCTCCTACGCCAGTGACTGTGCCGGCTTCTTCTCCCCGGGTATATGGATGGGACTGCTCACCTCCCTCTTCATGCTCTTCATCTTCACCTATGGCCTACACATGATCCTCAGCCTCAAGACCATGGACCGCTTTGATGACCACAAGGGCCCCACTATCTCTCTGACTCAGATTGTGTGACCCATGCTAATGGGAGGTTGAGGGTGTGATGGTGTTCAGGTTGTCACTTTCCCATCTTGTGGCACACTGGACTCTGAAGGGCTTCCCCTCTTCTACCCACTGAGGGGCTTCCCTGGGGCTGTCCCCCCATCTCTACCAATAAGGTGTATATATTCTGCATAGATATTAGACAAATTTCCCAGGCTCAGTCATTGTGAAGGGAGGGGACAGTAGTTCTAGGGTCCCTTTCTCCTTATTTATTATTATCTTTTCACCATTACCCCCTTGCTGTTTATAGTGCTTTTGTGTAACAAATGCTCTCTCCCCAAGCTTTATGGGGCTTCCAGTAGCAGCCATGAGCTTGAGGTTTCCTGAGTGTGGAGGTATTTGGAAGTACTGCTTAACTAACCGTCTAGCTTTGCTGTTATTATTATTATTATTATTATTTGGTGATGTGCTAACAATAAGCAGTACACTGGGGTTTATTTCTGTGGCCTGAGAAGGAAGGGACGTCCACTACAGGTGGCCTGGATGCAATCACTGGGTTTCTGTCATGTTCCCACCAGGAGTGCCTGGCAGGAGCCTGGGGTGCTCTCTTGTTTCCTTCCTAATAAAATAAAGACTGTATTGGACCTCTTGTCACTGTTTTCTGCGCTTGGATTAGGTATGCACTTGGCTTTGGCTGAGGGATGCAGGAGGAGGCACCCGGATGTAGCCGAGCCAGGACAGGCGGGAGGCGAGAACATTTAGAACCTGGGTGGCCGGGAGGATCTTTCACAACTGGTTAGAGTACGAACGGGCATTTAGGGCAAAGTCTGGATGTGCTTCCAGCCTTGGGAGGTACTCGTGACAATGGCAGCACTCAGAAAAAGCAACGCGACAGCCCCCCCCACCCAAGCTGCTGCAGCGGCGCGCGACAGACCCGCGGGGCCGCGCTGAGCCTCCCGGGGGGCGGGGCGGGGCGGGGCGGGGCGCGTGCGGCTCCCGCGCAAGGATCCGTTACGAACCGCAGCACCAGCCGCCGCCCCGCCCCTCCCCGCTCTTCTCTAGACCCTCTGCGAGCAGACTCGCTCGTGGAGTGGGGCTGGTGCTGGGACCCGGGCGCCGGAAGCCCTTCTGGGAGGCTATCTGCGGAGGCAGTGGCCCTGTGGGCGTGGAGGGCGCGCAGGGAGGGGGCGGGACTCTTTGACGCGGCGGAGGGGTCGGGCGGCGGCCGTAGAGCCGCCATCTTTGGTCCAGTGCGGCGTCGGCGGCGTCGGCGGCGGCTGCTGTGGTGAAGGAGGAGGAGGAGCCGAGCGGTCGCTGGCACCAAGGCCTGACCATGGATGAGGAATACGATGTGATCGTGCTGGGGACCGGCCTCACTGTAAGTGCACCCTCGCGCGCCCTTAGCCCTACATCATGCCTTCCCCACCGTCCGCGATGATGCAGCCCCTGGTCACCAGCCCCATCGTTCCATCGTCCCATCATTGCATTCTCCGCTCAGGTTCCCCAAAAGCCAGCCCTATGCCCACCTCACTACCCTGCCACACAATGTCGATTGTATTCGACTGTTATGCCTTGGTCGCCCTGAAGGAATCCTCCACGACCTCACGACTCCCCAGGTTGCAACCCCTGGCCCCCTGGTGTGCTCCCTCCCTTGGCCTGCTTGGCTGGAAAATTCACCCCCACTCGACCTGATGCCCCCCGACCCCGCCCACCCTGCCCCCCTTATCCATCTGCGGCACCCATCACCCGCCCAGCATCCCTTCCCAGTATCCCCTCCTATCCTGTGCTAATCGCAGTGGGGATGCAGCATGAGGCCATGGGGTCAGGTGGCCTTGCCAGGGTGGACTCTCATCCCACCTTCCTGGCTTTTTCGGGGGTCAGGGAACCCAGGGAATGTTCCAGAAGCAGCAGCAGCGGGGGCAGTGACCACATTCCTGTTACCTCACCCCAGTTTCCCATGGAGACCTCAGACTGAATGGTGTCTGCAGCCTTTGTCCTTGGGCTAGTAACTGCTGAGGGTGTTTATCTTTTCCCTTCCTCCAGACCCTATTGGTCTGCTTACCTGAGACTCATCTCCCTCAATCTGGGCCCATACACCCTCCTTCCATGATCATGGTCAAGAAGGCTCAGGGTCAGGGGCTCTTGTCCTTTGAAAAAAGAGCAGTGGAGGGTGGGGCCTGCAAATTCAAAGACTGTGATAATCTTGGCTTCCCTTTCAGGTGTCCTTTGAGGTTGAAATGGGTCTTCTCTATGATTCATCATGTTTTATCTGTCCTTCCATGTGCTCTACATAGATAGATGACTTTCTTGGCATGTTCGTATTGGAAGACTGTCCCTGTGTCTGATGCACACTCTGTTCCCCTCAAAGTCTCCATTATTTTTATCCTTCTTCATATCTTTCCCAGCAAGATTATGGAAGACACTGGTCAGATAAAGCTGTCACCCTCAATTTTAGGCAACGCAACAAGCTAGGGGTGGAAGGAGCTGTCCATTGTGGCAGGTTTGGGAACAAATCAGGGCTGCCATTGGGAATGCAGGCAGGTGGGAGTGCAGCAGCAAATGTCACCCCTTCCGCAGGAATGCATCCTGTCAGGTATCATGTCTGTGAATGGAAAGAAGGTGCTGCACATGGACCGAAACCCCTACTATGGGGGCGAGAGCTCTTCTATCACTCCCTTGGAGGAGGTAAGGCTGCCTAAACCTGGACCCAGGCCCAGATCCATCCTTCATTAACCCTCTCACATTGAGGCATAGGGTGGAAGAATGTCCCCAGGCTCTCTAGGACAGTAGGGGACATAGGGGTAGACCTTGAGGTTTTTCTCTTTCTCTCCCTCCTGTTTACAGCTGTACAAGCGCTTTCAGTTGTTGGAGGGGCCCCCTGAGTCGATGGGCCGGGGCCGAGACTGGAACGTTGACCTGATCCCCAAATTCCTCATGGCCAATGGTGAGGGAGATGAAGAAGATATTGTTGAGGGGTGGGCAACTGGGAAGACCAATGGAGGGTCAGACATTAGAGCAGGAGCAGCCAGACCATACAAGAGCTTCTGGAGGGAGCTGAGCTAATGTTGCCTCTCCCTCCCAACAGGGCAGCTGGTAAAGATGCTACTGTATACAGAAGTAACTCGCTACTTGGACTTCAAGGTGGTGGAGGGAAGCTTTGTGTACAAGGGGGGCAAGATCTACAAAGTGCCATCCACTGAGACTGAGGCCTTGGCTTCCAGTGAGTGTGGGTCCCCTGATCCAGAGAATAATGGACTGGGTGGGGGAGGCAGACTGTCCTCAGGGCTGGTGGCAAGGTAGCCATCCAGAGAAGGGTTCCCTTTGCACCAGGTAGCATTCACCAGGCAGTACGAGAGGCTCCTTGCTTTGTATTCTCCATTGCAGGTTGCCAGGAGGGAAACACATGTAGAAAAAAGATGGAGGGGGATTCTTTTTAGACTTTGGCAGGGCCTCCACTTAACCCCTGAAATATCCCAAAGTGGTGGAGATGGGAAGGCCAAGTCCAACTCAACCCCCTATTCATACAAGTGGGGAAACTAAGGCCAAAAAGGGTAGGAGGGTAAACATCAGGACACATGAAGAAGCTCAGCTGGAGCTAGGGCATCTACTTTCTTGGCCTGCCCAGCTGGGAAGGGGGGTTTAGTGTTCCAGTGATACAGAAAGTTTCTTCATGCTCCCTTTCTCAGATCTGATGGGCATGTTTGAGAAACGGCGTTTTCGCAAGTTCCTGGTGTTTGTGGCAAACTTTGATGAGAATGACCCCAAGACCTTTGAGGGTGTTGACCCCCAGACTACCAGCATGCGTGATGTCTACCGGAAGTTTGACCTGGGCCAGGATGTCATTGACTTCACTGGCCATGCCCTGGCGCTCTATCGCACTGATGAGTGAGGGAGGCTGGTGTGGTGGGAGGCCCCTTGCCAAGCCTACACCCTACCCTCCTCACACCTTCCTCCTGCTCCTTCTGCCCACCCTGCATGTCCCTTGTATTTACCCGTCTGTTACCTTTCACTCCCTCTCTCCCCTGCATTTTACCCATATCTTTACCAGGCCATACAGGGAGGTGGGAAGGCTGGCCTGGTGCCTGGGTGGGGATGAGCAGGGGTGCTGCTATCAGAGCATCTTCCCGGATTCCTGTCCCCCAGCTACCTGGACCAGCCCTGTCTTGAGACCATCAACCGCATTAAGTTGTACAGCGAGTCCCTGGCCCGGTATGGCAAGAGCCCATATTTATACCCACTCTATGGCCTGGGTGAGCTGCCTCAGGGCTTTGCAAGGTGAGGAAATGGCATTTTTTTTCAGTTGGCATTACTAGTACCAAGGCCAAGAATGGAAATGACCCCCTTGAGCATTTTTAGAGCATTTCATACCTTCCCATCTGTGATCTTCATTTACTTTGTTCCATCTCTGGGTGATAGCATAGCCCTAGTACATTGAGGTATACAGGAAAAGAACCAGGCCTCTGTGGAAGTGGCTTTCTCAGTTCTGGCAACACCAGGATTGGACACCGGGTCCCAGAACCTGGAGTTGAGGCTTAGCTGATAGCTGGCCCTTCTCCCGTGAGTCCCTTTATTCTGGTCCTCTGGTTCATTTCTATGTGGAACTGCTTTCTTCTGCCATCCTCATATTAGCCCATCACAGAATATAGCCCATCACAGAATATTCTGGGAAGAAGCTTCAGAGAGGAAGGAGCATGCCAAGATCAGTCCTGAGTTTGTGGCAGTGATAGAGCTGGGACGAACTGCTGGATCTCCTGACTTTGGCCTGCCTGGGCAATCTTTTCTGTACCTTGGTGGTGGAGTGGGGAGAGTGTAGTGGAATTGATCCCCATTTATCCTGAAGGGAAACTTCACCATCACTGTCTTCGCCACAGATTGAGTGCCATTTATGGGGGAACATATATGCTGAACAAACCTGTAGATGACATCATCATGGAGAATGGCAAAGTGGTGGGCGTAAAATCTGAGGGAGAGGTAAGCCTTCCCCATGCGATGGGGTCATTGTGGCTAGGGCAGGGTTTGATTGCCACCTTAGGGGCTCAGTTCCTAAGGAGCCTGACTGCTGATGGGTCTGCTGCTCCTCAACCTCAAGGCCCTAAGAGCTGGGAACTGGGGAGTCACCCCAAAAGAAGTCTTCATAGCCATTTCTATTGGCAAGAGGTATCCCTCAAAGACCATATGCTATGTCTTTGATCCAGAAAATATTCCTGATCACAGTGTCTCTCAGCAGCAGGGTTGCCCTTCTCTGAGTTAGGCACCTACTTGTACTATAGGAGGAGCAGTAGTGACAGCTCAGAGGAGCACTTCCTGCCAGAGCTGTCTGCCCTCACTGTGGATACAGACTGTGACCACCCAGGGCATGGGATGGTCTGATGGGCAAGGACTTGTGGTGCCTTCACAGGTGGCCCGCTGCAAGCAGCTGATCTGTGACCCCAGCTACATACCGGACCGTGTGCGGAAGGCTGGCCAGGTTATCCGCATCATCTGTATCCTTAGCCACCCCATCAAGAACACCAATGATGCCAATTCCTGCCAAATCATCATCCCCCAGAACCAGGTCAACAGGAAGTCAGGTAGGCTAGGCCATGACTGAGTATTTCCTGTTCACTCTCCTTGGGGTTGCTGTGCCTCCCCTCACCCCAGCCTTGGGGC